GAAATTTCCCTGGGTAGGTGACATTGCCTTCACCCCAGGCACATCGCACCCTGCAGTGGGGCCAGGGCCCTGCAGAGGGGAGTTCACTGGCTGGGTTTTCAACCCCACCCGGGCCGGCTGTGCCAAGAGAAACACACTTTCTGAGGGGGGTGGAAAAGGAGACGGGGGACGGGATCCCTTGGGCCTTGCCGGCCGCTCCCCAAGGCCCATCTGACGTCCTGGGCCCCCTGGTCAGGGCTGGGCCCTTCCTCACACACGTGTTTGCCTCTGCCTGGGATGTAAAGTCAGGATGGTTTCCCCCTTGGATGTGGAGACGCCAACAAACCTTCTCCCTGTTCAGCCCCCCAGCACCTCAGGCCGGCGGATTCACCAGGGCCCTTCAGGTCCCGCCGTTTGTCTTTTGACGTGGGAACTCTGAAACGCTGAATAATAGACCTGGTTTTGTTCATCCTGCGCCTGCATAATGCACAGACACCGTCAGCTTTCATGTGGTCTGTCCTTATCTATTTACTTCTCTACACCTGCACACACCCACCCACACGCACCCACCCGCCCGCCTCGCTACACCCGCATGCACCCACTTGCCCATCTTGCTACACCTGCATGCACCCGCCCGCCCTGCTACACCCGCACGCACCTGGCCGCTCGCCTTGCTACTCCTGCACGCACCCGCCTCTCTACACCTGCATGAACGCTTTGCTACACCCGCACCCACCCGCCCGCCTCACTACACCCGCACACACGCCTCGATACACCCACATGTACCCGCCCGCCCGCCTCGCTACACCTGCACTCATGCCTCGCTACACCCGCACCCACCCGCCCGCCTCTCCATACCCACACCCGACCAGCTACCCACCTCTCTAGAGCCGCACACATCCACCTGTCTATCTCCGCACATGCTCACCTGCCTGCCTGACTCTGACCACACTCAGGACACTTTCCCAGCACTGTCCCCAGTGGGTTTATTCAGGATCTGGCCTCCTTGCGATTAACGTGGCCAGGACCCGACATTGAACCTCACCGCCCACTACTCTCCACTCACAAACCCTTTAGCCTCAGCCTGGCTGACACAATCTGGGGGGCAGTTTAGGCCTCGGCTCCTCTTCACCCTCCTGAATTGTGGCCCCAGAATCAGACCCAGGATCCCAGCAGCCACACAACGAGGTGAAATCCCCTCCCTGCCCTGCCCGAGGGTCCCTCCCAGCCTCCCATTTTCGGTTTTGCTTTTCCGTATGTGACGAAGACGGGACCCAGGACTCGGTCTTCTCCAGCCAATGTCTCAGCAGCTACAAGAGCGACATAAAAGTCCCCATCACGTTCTCTCTGGGGAACGGCCAGTACGTGCGGAACAACGTCACACAATGCAACGACACGAATTTGTGTAATTCGGCCCTACCTCAAGGTACGTTGTGGGTCTGTTTGTATTGTCCCTATTTCAGGTCACGTGCCCACACACAGAGCTGGGCTAAAGATGTGAAAATGTGGTTAATTGGTTGGTTGAGTAGTCGATGGAGTTTCCGTCGACAGGCACGTCCGCATTCCCCCTTTGAAATGTACAGGCACCCTGCTGGGCCCCCGCTGGGGCTCTTGTACATTTCCAGGGAGGAACGCAGCACTCCGCGTGCAGCCTGGGGTTGTGGGAAGTCTCCCTGACTCCGGGCTGCATGCAGGGGCCAGCTTTACAATGTACAAGAGTCTCCAGCAGGAGCTTTTGTGCATTTCAAAGCCATGGAGAGAAGAACTGGGAAGTTTCTGGGGGCGATGGCAGCGGGGTACTTGCCAGGGAAGGGTTGTGATGACTCGGATGCAGAGCTGGGGAGAGAAACAAATAGTCCTGGTTCCCACCCTCTACTGCTCTAACCACTAGTCCCCTCCACCTTGATGTTTAAGGTGGAGCTACGCTGCTGTTGCTCCATGAGACAGCTCCTGTTCTCCCCAGGGGCAGGGAGAGCCGGCGTGTTCCCCGGCAGCACCACGCTGGGAAAGGAACCGCCCTGACTATAGATCCATTCCCAACCCCAGTGCCAGGCGCCTGTGGCACAGGGGAGAGGAAGGAGGGTGCCCGGTAACTGCCCTGCTTTGGCCTGGTGCAGCCAGAGCAGAGAGGTCCCCAGACGGATGGGAAGGAGATCGTCGATTAGTCCTTAACATCCTTAAACTAGACAGCACTGAGCAGGGTGTGTGTCGGGCTGTGCGTGTGCCCCTTGCTGACGCCTAAGAACAGGTCGTTACAGCCCTTTGGAAGGGACTAGCTCAAAGCCCATTAACAGGTGGGCACAGGGTGGATTCACACCCCAGCAGGTCCCGACACCCCGTCTCCTTGCTACAGTGGAATCATTCCTGTGGACACGCCCCAGCACAACTGTAATTGTTACCACCATGCCTGCTGGGGAGAAAGTGACGAGCGAAGAGTTATTTACTCCTTCCCAGAGCACAAGGACAAGGGGTCATGAAGAGAAATGAACAGGCAGTCGGTTTAAAACAAACCCAAAGAAGTTTTTCTTCACATTAACACACAGTCAACCTGTGGAACTCCTCGCCAGAGGATGTGGTGAAGGAAAAGATCAGAACAGGGTTCCAGAAAGAGCTAGATACATTCACAGTCCATCAATGGCTAGGTAATGGGGTTGGGGCGCCCCCTGGCTGAATGCCTGTGCACTCTCTGTTTAGGGAGGGTTTCCAGAGCACAGCCCACCGGCTGAGTCACACAATCTGTGTGCCAAAGAAACAACCCCCTTCCGGGCCACACAGCAAACAGGGCCTCTCCCTGCGCCCTTGGTAGTGTCCCTCCGTCTGCTCCCTCCCTGGCCCAGAGCGGTGCCCCCGGTGGCAGCGTCTCCATCCTAACCTCAGGGCTTTGTCTCCAAGGCTTGACCCAGCCTGGCCTGCAATAGGCTCCCCGCCGGGAGCTGTCCGTGGTGCTGCTGCTCCCTCAGCCAGCTCCAAGGTGACACTAACTGCTGTGCCGTCTGCAGCCCCTTTTATATGGCCTTCCTGGCTCCTGATTGGCTGCTGCCCCTGCAGCTGCTCTAGCCTGCTTGGAGGACCTCTCCGCTGCCTTTTCTCAGTGGCAGAACACAAGTCTCCAGCAGGGGGCCTCAGAGCCTGGTCCATCCCATCGCAGCTATTAGCCGGGCTGGGAGGGGCGGGTGTCCCTGGCCTCTCCTGGGCAGAAGCTGGCAATGGGCGACGGAGGGGGGGGGTCACTGGATGGTTCCCTGTTCTGTTCCCTCCCTCTGGGGCAGCTGGCCTTGGCCACGGTGGGCAGACAGGACACGGGGCTGGAGGGGCCTTTGCTCTGACCCAGTGCGGCCGTTCATGTCCCTAGGAGCGTTGCCAGCAGACCCAGAGAAGTGATCGTCCCCCTTTAGTCAGCTCTGGGGAGGCCACCTCTGGAGAATTGTGTCCAGTTCTGGGCCCCCCACTACAGAGAGGATGTGGAGCATTGGGGCCAGCGGAGGGAAAGCAAAATGATTTGGGGGCTGGAGCACATGACCTATAAGGAGAGGCTAAGGGAGTTGGGTTTGTTTAGTCTGCAGAAGAGAAGAGTGAGGGGGGATTTGAGAGTAGCCTTCAACTACCTCAGGAGGGGTGGGATCTCCATCCCTAGGGGTGTTTAAGTCCCGACTGGACCAAGCCCTGGCTGGGAGGGTTGAGTTGGGGTGGTCCTGCCTTTAGGACAAACACTTTCCCTAGGCGGGTGGGGAAGTGCTGGGTTCCCTTTGGAGGGGGTGGAATCTCCATCCCTAGGGGTGTTTAAGTCCTGGCTGGACCAAGCCCGGGCTGGCTGATTGAGTCAGGGCTGGTCCTGCTTTGGGCTGCGAGTGCGATTGGATCCCTCCCGAGGGCTCCGCCCGCCCTGGGATTTGGAGATTCTTTATTGCCCCAAACTCCATTTCCTCCTGCGTCAGTTCTGTCTCCAGTGAGATCCCTGTAGCGGGCGGGTCACAGGCGGGGGTAGAACAGTCGGGGCCCGTTTGCCATCAGACGGGTGGGGGCTGCATAGGAAGGAGGGAGCAGCCGCCGGGACAGGCTCAAATCTAAACTTCCCGGCACCTATCGGCTCCTCCTTCGCTCCCGCCCCCGTTCA